ACTCTTGCCGGCTTCCTCCCTGTCCCAGCGCAGCTGCCATGATTGGTCTAGTTTAGGTTCTTGGTCAGTGTTGTCTACAATTGTTTCAGTAGTTGGAGCTTGGAAGATACTGACCAGCATGGGACTTGTTTAATTGTTTTCAAGAAGAAATAGTGCTTTAGTTGAGCTCCTGTGTAGCTGTAGTTTAGCATTCAGCAGCAGTTTTCTTTTTTATGCAGCATGCCACTTTCTTTCAGAGTGGCCATGAAGCATGCCTTTCGGTCCTCTGATCCGAGGAAAAGTAATTAGTGTTAGTTCCTGCTGTTGGTTACTAAATAAACCAGAAATAGTTGTCCTGCGAAACAATTTTACTCTGTTTTTTTGTTGAATCGGCAAATTTTACTCTGCTGATAGGATGGACAAACTGAAGTTTGTGGCTAGCATGAGGGTGCGAGTGTATGCGACTTCATAAGTTGATGATGCTCACAAAAAACCTTCCTGGAGTAGTGCATATGTCCAACTATGAGTTTCTTTCTATTCTGTGATATAGGGTCCTGTGACTTCTTTTTCTTGGGCTAGCTGCCAGGTTGAGTTTGCGTATATGCATACCAGTGTAGCTAATCCATCGATAAGTCCAGCACTTTTTAGTGTCAGTTCAGGGGATGCTTTACTGGCAGCGGTTTCTTCACTGTTTCTATAGTGTTGCTCAATGGGATGCTTTGCCGGCAGTGATTAGACAGTAAACTAAACTGTCCGGTTTCCTATCTGCATGCATCTGCTGTTGATTTTGAAAGTTAATGCTCTCTAATGTTCCTATATTTCCCTCTGATCAGAAAAAATGGAAGAGGAAGAAGGGGACCATGAGGCATACCAAAGTGGTGGTTCATCGTTGATATCCGGTGCGACAATGAGAAGGGATCAACCACCCCCAGGGGTGTCTCCTTCTTCGATAAACATTTGTAGAGCTTATCACGGTCAATATTGTTGATCTTTCTTTTTCTTGGGATGCAAATTAATTATTGCTAAAATAAAAAATACTCGTAATTGCAATGTTAACACTCGTGTCCTTTGCTCAGCAGGACGTTCACAAGACACTCGTATGGTTGATTTTGAAGATGAGGCTGATGAAGAAGATGTTGACTATGAAGAAGAAGAGGAAGGAGAAGAAGATGAGGATGAAGAAGAAGAAGAAGAAGAAGAAGATGATGATGATGATGAAGAAGAGCGAGATAATGTGGATGAAGAGGAAGGGGCTGAGATCATTGACATGGGATCATTTTCTGAACCGGGAAGAAAGTTTTTGTCTAAAGTGTGGAAAGAATATGAGCCTATCCGTGTTGATGGCATAGTTGTAGCTGATGAGTGCAAACACTGTTCAAGGAATATTTGTGCTGAGCGTAAACATGGAACAAGTTCATTGCGCAAACATTTGAAGAGATGCAGGGAAAGGAAGAAGGTTCTTAGAGTTTCTGGATAGCTGAGTGCTTCTATCATGAGTCCTGATGGAGTTGCAATGGGGCTTTGGACCTTTAATCAGGCATTAGCACGCCGAGAGCTTATGAGGATGATAGTCTTGCATGAATTGGCATTCTCATTGGTGGAGTATGATGGATTTAGAAGATTTGTCTCTAGTCTAAATCCTAGCTTTAAGATGATATGTAGAAAAACAGTGAAGGAGGACTGCATGAAAGCATTTAAGGAAGAGAAGAGAATTCTGCAAAGGATGTTCCAAAACTCCAAATCCAAGATTTCTTTAACTACAGACCTATGGACATCAAATCAGACAATGGGGTACATTTGCATCACAGCCCACTTCATTGATGAGGAGTGGAAGCCGCGAAAGAGGATAGTGAAATTTGCAGCTATGGAGACGCCGCACACAGGAGCTGCAATGTTCAACATCATGGTGAATTTCATAAGAGAGTGGAATATTGAAGATAATCTCTTTGCTGTGACGCTAGATAATGTATCGAACAATGGTGCAATGATGAAGCTATTGAAGGCACATCTCCTGCTTAAGAAGATGTTACCTGGTAGTGGCAAGTTGTTTCACCAATGTTGTGCCGCCCATGTCATAAATCTGATATGTCAAGCAGGATTGAACTTCCTTGGTCCAGTGATCAACATGATGCATGAAAGTGTTAAATATATTCGAAGCTCACCAAGTCGAAAGGAAAAATTTCAAGAAATCGTTGCGCAGCATGGTGTATCATGTGGGAGAACTCCAAGTCTTGATGTTCCAACTCGCTGGAACTCAACCTACATGATGGTTGATATAGCAAAGGAGTATCGCAGAGTGTTTGACTCTTTGGCCATTCAAGATAAACAATATACCTTCAAGCCATCTTTTGAGGATTGGGAAAATGCCGAAGATGTTTGCAGGCTACTGAATGTATTTTATGAAGCCACTAATGTGATATCCGGCACAAAATATCCAACTGCTAACTTGTATTTCCATGAAATGTGGAAAGTGAAGCTGGCCTTAGAGCAACAACATTATGAAGAGGATTCTGAGATGGGTACAACGGTCAAATATATGAAGAGAAAATTCAGAAGGTATTGGAAGATGACATGGTTGAGCCTTTGTATTCCAGTGATTTTGGACCCACAATTCAAGTTGAAATATATTGAGTTCCGATTTGGCCTAGAGTTCGGGAATGAAGCTGCAGCAATGATTGCTAAAATAAAAAATGTGTTCCAAGGGTTGTTCAAGGAATACCTCCAATTGAATGGCAATGGCTCAGATCCCATGTCACAAGGAGGTGATGATGACATGGCTGTAAGTGGTGAAGATCCTATGGCTGATTGGGACCATCATGTCACCCTCACTGCTCGATTAATAAATTTGGATTCTACCGAACTTGATTCGTACTTGTCAAAGGTACCCATCTGTCGAAGTGATCAATTCAATATCCTTGCATGGTGGCAGACCAACTCAGGTGAATACCCAACGCTGAGTCGCATGGCATCAGATATCTTGGCGGCTCCTGCCTCTGCGGTGGCATCCGAGTTTGCCTTCAGCACAGGGAAGAGAGTCCTATCAGATTTTCCAAGTCGAATGACCGCAATGACACTTGAAGCTCTTGTTTGCTTACAAGATTGGATACGGGCCACCGGTAAAGCCATACGACACAAGTTTCTTCTTTGTTTCTTATTAATGCTTAAAGTTTACAAGTTTCTTCTTTTTTTCTGCAGCTAATACTCAACGTAGCTTGGCTTCAGTTCATGACATTATAATGGACTTACAAGGTATGAGAAACCTTCTGATGTATATAGTGCCATGTATATGAAAGTAGACTTAAAGTATGAAGCCTGCTTTTTAATGAGGGATTTCATATCTACAGTTTGTTCCAGGAAACTATTTGCAAGATGCAGCCCAATCATGTAGATGAGTATATAGTGTTTTACACACAAAACTAGTGCTGTTAGTTTTGATTTCCCCAAGTTATAGTTGATCTCTAATATATATTTCTTTTTTCCATTCTTGCTTGTTGACATGCTTACGAGAATCGGGAATATTCTCTTTGTTCTAATCTTTGTTGCGAAGTGGATGATGGGTAGTGTATGATGGATATTTAGAAGTGTATTTTCTTACAAACTTGATCATGAATTGGTTTTCTGGAACATGCCTTTGCCACTAAGAATATTCCTCTATTCATAAATATATTATTTAGTATTTTTAAGGATAAATATACTATTTAGTTGATGTGCACAGAATTACTCTTGTAACGTTTCTTTGTAAATACAGATATCGAGGATTGATGCTTGTTGGAGCAATTCATGTTAAACCTCAAGCAGATGATGAAGCAAAGACATGTCAGCTTTCTCTATAACCTACTGGATGTGAAAAGTTTAGCATGTTGAACTAGTAATCTTTTGATCTTGTCCGAGTCTGTTGGATTGAGGTCCTTAGCTTAACGTTCTTTGAAACTTGTAATCTTTTGATCTTGTTCGAATCCGTTGGACTAAGGTCTTTAGCTTGATACTCTTTGAAACATGATCTCGCCATTTTACTAAATGTGAAAAGGTTAGACCTTGTCATTTTACTGTACTGTGTACACATTTGCTGACATCTATTTTTTGGGACTTATTAGTAATTTGGCGAGGCCACAAATGTTGGACGGTGCAAACATTTGGTTCAAAAAACCTGTAATCCTCTGGAAAGTGTAAACATTTGCTAAATTTTGGGTCGGCCTCATGTGCCCAATGGGTCAATGGGGCCACAAATTTTTGATGAAATGGGTCGGCCCATGGCCTCGCATATTGGCCTTGGGGCCATTGTGCCGGGGCCGGGGCCAGGGCCGGGTCGGCCCGTTCCCATTTTGATTTGGCAGACAAGCACGTGCACGACTTAATCGATTCCGGCGAGTTACACAACACGCCGACAACATACGCGGAAACATATCGATTCCATCGAGACATACACGCGGGCGCGGACAAACCAGAGGAGAGTGGCGCCCCACCTCACCAGCGACATCTGGTACTCCGGCAACGCAGCCGCGGACAGACTGGAGCATAGCGGCGCAAGGAGGGAGGGGAGGCGACACTCAACAGAGGCGACGATGACAAGGCAGGAGGGGCGGCGGCGGTGAACGAGTTCATCCCCTTCCGATCTGATTTCAACGGGTGAATCGGCAGGATGCACCGGTCAAATTAGCACAAAGGGTATTTTGGTCCACTGTTTTATGTATATATTATGCCAACTTTTTGTAAGCATTGTTTTTGGGTGAAAAAGTGGCAAAAGATCAAAGTCCAAACTAAAAAGAGGAAATAGATCAATTACAATATAAAGAGTGACAAATTATCAAAGTACAAAGTAAGTGGTGGCAAAAAATCAAAACCCCTAAAAAAGAAGACTCCGATCTTTGCCTACCTAGTTCCGTCCCATATCCCTCATCCCACGCCGACGAGCCTCCACCGCCGCCGCCACGTGCGAGCACGCACCGGAGGATCGGCGCGAGCTGCCCGCAGAACCCAGAGGGGACCCGCTTGATTTGACGCAGGCGCGGGCGCGCAGCCAGATGGCGGCGCCCTCGGGGAAGGCCGCAATGGAGCGGCACCAGTCGATCGACGCGCAGCTGCGGCTCCTCGTCCCCGGCAAGGTCTCCGAGGACGACAAACTCGTCGAGTACGACGCCCTCCTCGTCGACCGCTTCCTCGACATCCTCCAGGACTTGCACGGCCCCCACCTCCGCGAATTCGTGCGCCCTTCCCGTCTCCTCTACTTCCCAGATCCGCACACCATCTGTCCGACGCCATGCCCATACGGACTGTTTGGTTCTCTTCTCCTATGCAGGTGCAGGAGTGCTACGAGCTCTCGGCGGAGTACGAAACCGATCGGGACGAGGCCCGGATAGGCGAGCTCGGGGGCAAGCTCACCAGTCTGTCCCCCGCTGACTCCATCGTCGTCTCCAGCTCGTTCTCGCACATGCTCAACCTCGCAAACCTGGCCGAGGAGGTGCAGATCGCGTTCCGCCGCCGGAGCAAGCTCAAGCGGGGGGACCTCGGTGACGAGGCATCAGCGCCCACCGAGTCTGACATCGAGGAGACACTCAAGCGGCTGGTCTCCGAGCTCGGAAAGTCCCGTGAGGAGGTGTTCGATTCACTCAAGAACCAGACTGTCGATCTTGTGTTCACAGCGCACCCCACGCAATCCGTCAGGAGGTCCCTGCTCCAGAAGCACGGGAGGTGATGTGATGGACAATGAATCCCACTCCCATTGCTTTCGCCTTTGTGGATACTCTAAAATTTTGTGGCGTTAATTGATTGTGCAGGATCCGAAATTGCCTGCGGCAGTTGTATGCAAAGGATATCACTGCCGATGACAAGCAGGAGCTCGATGAGGCTCTGCAGAGGGAGGTAAATTAAAGAAACTATTCAATTTGAGATGAGAATATTATAAAGTAAATTTGATATTTCAATATAAAGGGTACACCAAAACCTTTCTTGACTAGTACTCCCTCCGTTTCTTTTTAGTCCGCATATAAGGTTTGGTCAAAGTCAAGCATTATAGAGTTTGACTAACTTTATATTAAAAAACATAAACATTCACAATATGAAATCAATATATTTAGATGCACCATGAAACATATTTTCATACTATATAGTTTTAGTACTGTAGAAGTTCATAATTTTTTATATAAATTTGGTCAAACTTTGTGTAGTTTGACTTTGACCAAATCTTATATGCGGAGTAAAAAGAAACGGAGGGAGTATAACTGCCCATTTAATATGTAGCCTGTACCCCTCTCAACTGTTATAAACCCACACCTATGATAGCTTTCATGACACATTCAACACAAGATCTCAGTATGATTTGACCAAAGTGGTCACATATTCATCTTTAGTCAAATAAGATAATGAGATAATGTAAATAATCTATGCAACATGGTAGGCGTAGCTTATTATATGCAAGTTTAAAACTTTAAATGTATGTGGAAAATCACTTCTTGTTTTCTACTATTATGTCCCATCATGTTTTTCTCTTTTGATTCATCTCTTAACACGTTTCACAGATTCAAGCTGCCTTCCGAACCGATGAAATCCGCAGGACACCTCCCACTCCTCAGGATGAAATGCGTGCCGGAATGAGTTATTTCCATGAAACTATATGGAAGGGTGTACCAAAATTCTTGCGCCGGATTGACACTGCTTTGAAAAATATTGGGATTAATGAGCGTCTTCCTTACAACGCTCCTCTCATTCAGTTCTCCTCCTGGATGGGTGGTGACCGTGATGGTACTTTCTCCTATGCCACTTTGTACATCAATGATCATTTAGGAAAGGGAATTATGCTTTTATGAAGAGTCTGTTATACGTACTAGATCTTTTTGCGGGGAAGATATCAGATTTCATAGCGGTACATGTGAGTGTACAGCAGATTTTGGCCTGCACAAAAACGTCCTTATTATGGCCTCAATTGAAAAAGTGTTCAACATGAAAGTTGTGCGCTTCGTCATGGCAAACAACTTTGTTTTTTGGGTCACCTCCTTCCGAACTCATATGCGGCCATAATAGCCAAAACAGTAAAAGGTAAAAGTTGTCATTTTACCATTGTAAAAGGTAAAAGTGGTAGATTGATTGATTTATTGATCGATTGTGCTGTTCAATCAGTAAAAGGTGGCTGGACTTTCCGTACAAGAACAAGAAAATGACTCCAATTTCCGTCCAAATTGTCAAACTAACCTTACTTGGAGGGCATTAGTCTGGACTCCGAATTTGGCTGGACTGTTTGGCCGTATCTGGATCCTCCGCAGGAGCACACGTTTTTCAATTTGAAGCCATCTTGAGATGTATATATTAGAACTAGATAAGAAAGGCCCGAACAATTGGCCGGACTGTCCGGGACTTGTTCGGCCCACACTATATATATTTCGGTTGGTCTGGACATAATATTTAAGGTAGAACTAGAGGCTTTTTTCCTGTCCATAATAAATAATGTTAGAACCTATCTTATACTCTCTCGTTTCATAGGAAATCCAAGGGTTACACCGGAGGTCACACGTGATGTTTGCTTGTTAGCAAGGATGATGGCTGCTAACTTGTACTTCTCTCAGATAGAAGATCTGATGTTTGAGGTATTCTAACAACAGAAGTACTTTTACATGCTGTAAGGCACTCTTGCAATATTAATATCCCAATATTAAGAACAAAAGATGTTTTTCTAGCTTTCTATGTGGCGCTGCAGTGATGAACTTCGGGTCCGTGCAGATGAACTACATCGTTCCTCAAAAAAATCTGCAAAGCACTATATAGGTAACAGAAATTTAATTTTGGCAATAAGTGTTTTGGTCAATTTGCGTAAGTGTTGGCCTGCTTATCATCGGAAAAACTGGATGCTCTTTTCTCTTCTTGCTTTGCTCTTGACACATGCAGTATCACTTCAACACAAAGAAACTTTGCATGGTTTTTCTTTTATATTTTTAGCCATGTTTTGTCATTTTAACCACATCAGACTTGGCTCTATAAAAGCATCTTAACTTCACTACAAACTATATGCTTTAGTTCCTTTGCATATAAAAATGTGCATGCCTATTGCCATTTATTATTTACCACATGTTGTGGATCATCATTTAATTTTAGCTTGTCGGATGATTCGATAAGTGCATCTACTAGATCAAAATCTGCTAAAATCTACTGGATCAGGCACGTTACCTTGACAAGATCTAGGTGTTGATTATTTTTTGTTATAGAGATAAGGTATTGATATTAATTCTAGAGGCTTGGAAGTTCTCATTATAAGAGCATCTCTAACAGCCGCCGAACGCGCGGCGCGCTAAAAATCAGTTTGCAGCGCGCCGATCGCCTGCTTTGGCGCGGCGGGGAGCGCTGGCTCCTGCGGCCGCGGTAAATTTAGCGCGCGCGCGTAGCTCCAGCAGGTGCGCTAAAATGCAGCGCGCGCTCTCGCACAAACACTCTGGACTATGGTGCATATGCATAGATAGATAGATAGATAGATAGATAAAACGATACATAGATATTTCACAATACATAGATAAAACGAGACATCGCATAGATAGATAAAAGAACTACGATGCAACTAGATAATAAAAACCACGGTGCAACTAGATAAAAACTACGGTGCAACTAGAACCTACTTCGAGTCATCCTCCTCATCATCATCCTCGCTGGTGTTGTTCGAGGTATCGAGCCACAGGTCATCCCAACATTCATCGTCTGACGCGAAGAACGACTTCCTACCTGTGTTAACGAGATCGCACTGCGATATGGCCAGTGCCTTCCGCCGACGCCTGTCCGCCTGCTCCGCGCGGCGCCTTGCCGACCTCTCCGCCTAGAAGGCGTTCTCGGCGGCGACGTCCTCCGGGTGGCGCCGGCGTCACTCCGCCATGGCTCGCTCGTCCTCCTCGGCGATGAGGAGGCGGTGCTGCCGCCGACTGTGTTCCTCACAGTCCTGGTCTGTTATAAGACGAGGCGGAGGGGCGACGACCTGCGCCTGCTCACGCGTGTAGACGTCGTGGAAGTTCATCTGTGCGCGAGGTCTCCCTAGGCGCCACGACGCCGCGTCGTACGCGCGGGCGGCCTCGTGCGCGGTCTCGAATGTGCCGAGGCCGAGGCGGACGTCGCCGGACCGGATCTCGGAGTAGAAGGCGCAGGAGGGGCGCTCGCGGACGCCGCGGTAGCCCGAAGATCCCCGGCGGCGTGGCGGCATGGTGGCGCGTCGGTGGCGGGGCGGGGAAGCGGCGAGGAAGCGGTAGAGGAAGCGGCGAGCAAGCGGCAGAGCGCGCGCGGCAGTGTGGATGGCGATGGGTGGCCGCGTGGCGAGCGCCGCAATTTATAGGCGAGCCGGAAGCGGTGCGCCAAATCTAGCACGCGGCCGCAAGCTTTCTCCGCCCCGCGCGCAATCGTTTCCAGAGCGCTCTAGTTTCCCCCCTCCGTTGGAGCGCGCGAAAACGTCCCGCGCGCGCTAAAAAGCCAGTTTACCGCGCGCGCACGTCTTTTGGCGCGGCTGTTGGAGATGCTCTAAACACCAATCATATATTGTTATTGTTGGCGGAGAGAGAGAGAGACATACCAGCTTGTGTCCATCCGTGCGTGTGTAGCGGCACCTTACTCCAGACAACGTCTGTTCCTCCTTTAGGCCAGCGCCCACATGGGCTTGGGCCTTATGGACCAAAGTGGAGATGTGCGAGGCCCATATACCGGTTCAACATTCCCCCTCAAAATGGGTGGTAGATACTTATCATCCCCATCTTCTGACATGCCAAGTTACAGTCCTTTGTTCCCAGTCCTTTTGTTAAGCAATCCGCAAACTACTGCCAGAGCTGACATGAGTAAGGCTGATGATCCCAACATCAAGTTTCTCCTTAATGAAGAAGCGATCAATTTCCACATGTTTTGTCCTATCATGTTGAACTGGATTATTAGCAATGCTTATGGTTGACTGATTGTCACACCACACTGTCAAGTTTCTTCCTCAGAAGTTTCAACTTGCTTATTAGGTGCTTCACCCAGAGTATCTCACTCAACCTTTGAGATAAGGCTCTATACTCAGCTTCTGCTGTTGATCTAGACTCAACTGTCTAATTCTTCTCCATGAAACCAAATTTCCTCCCACAAGCACATAAGTTGATCTTCTATCATCTTGACAACTTGCGTTTTCAGAGTTAGTATAGCTAGCCACCTCAAGATGTCCACTCTTCGCAAACCACAACCCTTTACCCGCACCGCCCTTCAAATATTTCAGGATTCTGTGCACACTATCAAGATGCCCACTCCTTGGTTCATGCATGTATTTTCTCGCCACACCCACGACATATGTAATGTCAGGCCTTGTACAACACAAGTACAATAACCTCCAAACTAGTTTATGATAATCTTCCTTATTCACTAGTTGTCCTGATTGTGCTGTCACTTGATGATTTTGTTCAATCAGAGTAGGGGCTGCAGTGGTAAAGCTGCTGCCTTGCTGCCTTGTGCCATGAGGTCATGAGTTCAAGTCCTAGAAACAGCCTCTTGCAGAAATGCAGGGAAAGGCTGCGTACAAAAGACCCAAAGTGGTCGGACCCTTCCCCGGACCCTGCGCAAGCGGGAGCTACATGCACTGGGCGGCCCTTTAGAGTAGGGGCTGCACGACATCCCATCATGATGCCCGTGTCACTCGAGAGATCCAAGGTGTATTTCTGTCAGCACAAAGATATTCCCTTCTATATCCAGGCCACTTCAATGCCAAGGAAGTATTTTAGGTTGCCCAAATCATTTACCTCAATTTCCTTGCTCAGACACCCCTTGAAATCTCTCTGATCCTTTCTTATCATCTCTAGTGATGATAATGTCATCCACTTCCACTGGAAGAATGGTGATCTTCCTATCAGAGTGTTTGTAGAACATCGTGTGGTCACCGTTACATTGACCATACCCCATAACACAGAGAACACGTCTGAACCTATCAAACCATGCCTGACCCTTGGGGATTGCTTCAGTCCATACAAGGATTTCTTCAGCCTGCATACCTTCCTCTTGAATCTCTGAAGTACCAAAACCTGGTGGTATCTCCATGTACACTTCTACCTGCAGCTCACCATGTAAGAAGGCATTCTTGAATGCAGCTTCCACCCATAGTTTGCAGCATATGAAACCAATATCCTTACTTTGTTCTTCTTTGCAACTGGAGCAAACATCTCATCATAGTCAATCCCATTAGTTTGACTATATCCTTTGGCGACCAATCTGGCCTTATACTGTTTCAGCTCCCCCTCGGGATTCTGCTTCATGGCGTAGATCCACTTTACAACTTACTGCTTCCTTTTTTGCCGGCAATGTGGTTAGCACCCATATCTTGTTTTTCTTTAGTGCTTAGTTTGATGAACAACAAACTTAGTTTCTCCAAACATCAACTCACACGGAGATTTCATGCTTAGTATTCTTGACGGTGTCCGGTTGATGAGGCTCCACAAGAACTTGGCACATTCAGCGTATACATAATGACTGAGGAACCTCAAGAATATGTCGATTCTTCCTTTGTACCACTCACCTGAAACTGATTCTTCACCAAGGCACTGAAATTCTGAAAACAACTTTGATTCTTCACCAAGGCATTGAAATTCTGAAAACAGCTCAACACCTCATCCTTGTGATGCATCAAATAAATCCAAGTCATACGAGATAGCAATCGATAAAGGTAATAGAGTACTTCATTCCATTCATTGACACCATTGGGCAAGTCCATACATACGAAGGAATCCATAAACGGAGATGCTCCTAAGCCCCCACATGAGGCTCTTGTGTGTTTGGCGTATTCGCAAGCATCTCATGTCAACTTGCCCTTGTCTCTCTTGCACATAACATCCGGAAATATTTTACTCATCTTATCAAAAGATATATGCCCCATTCTACAGTAATGGATCATCACCTGCTTCTCCTTGTTCTCCATGGTCGCAGCACACACCAAGTCTGGCTGCACCTCCTGGTCCATATACCAGAGCCCCCTACGCTTGGTGCAAGTCCCAACCGCCTGTCGCTCCTGAATAAGGCAACCGAACTTGTCACGGATCACACGTAAGTCTATTTGATCAGTTAGAGCACTGAAAGTGATCAAATTGACTGGAAAAGCTGGCTCATGTAAAAGTGAGGATAGGGAGATGGTCGATGGACTTTACTGTGCCAACCCCTACAAGTTGTTTTGTACCATCAACAGTTTATGTAGTGCCCTTTTGAGTAGGAGGATGATTATTGTAAGACTCAAACACACATGATTTATTCGCAACATGCTTAGATGCTCCAGAGTCTAGAATCTACTCTGGAGCATTCTCATTAGTAGCAAGAGATGCCTTTTCCAAATTACCTTCATCAGTGGAGGCCCAGTGAGCAAAGTCTTCATAAGCAACATCACCTACTTCTTCGCCCTTTGACGTCCCAGTGTCCCCTTCAACTGTCATGTGTGCCCTCTGACCTTTGAGTTCCCCGAGTATCCACCTCTGCCCCTAGCCTCTGCCACTTCCTCCTTTGTTATATCTCCTGCCTCTACTGCAAGTTGGACATTCCCACTTTCGGTGACCTACCTCCCCACATGTATAACAGTCCCTGAGAGCTCTCCCTTCTGTGTGGTCACTTGCTGCACAGGTCGAAGTAGGCACAATCTTCACGTCTGCTTGCTCAAGAGAAAGCTCCCCCTCCCGAGTCATCATGCAATAGCCTCATCAATAGTAGGCAGGAGAGTTTGGTGTAGTAGTAGGGATGCCTTCCTGCGATCAAAGCAATCTTTTTGAGGCCATCAAAAAGTTTCAACACACGCCTGC